GGATTATGCTGAAATTTGAGGGTCTCGATTTAAAATATAAACCCTACAAGATCATCCTATACTCTTTTGCTAATGTTGCTAACCTAAATCCTAATTTACCATTAAAAAAAAAAAAAAAAAGCTAATTCAAAAAATTTAAAAATCGCACATAATATATACAAGTTTCAGCATTATCTATTTAAAATTATTCGTGACATTAAATACCAATAACCTCTAATTATCAATGTTATCTATCGTGACAATGTTATTAAAACTTCGTACGATTATTCAGTATTGAACCTAAGATCATTATGCGAAGAGAAGTATATTAGCAAAGATCAAAAAAAATAAATAAATAAACAAATAAAATAAAATAAAATAAAATAAAAGTCGGTTTAAAAGTAAAATAGAAAAGAATAAACATACCATTTACTTATTGTTTATAAGCTACAAACGTCTTGGCGAAACTAAAAAAAAAAGTTTAAATCGCATAGTTTAAATAGATTACAAGCTAAATAGAAAGTTTAAAATACTCAAAAAGTAGCTCTCATCTAACTCCTGAATTACCTCGCTGATTACCAAATTACTTTGACGTCTTGTAGCGAAGAAGGTATAGTTTCTAAATTTTTTACACAACTCTGCGAATTCGTATTCGAGGCTGCGAATCCAATTCTTGTGATTCTCGTGACGGAAAATCGTAACTTTAATAATTTAGGGTTAGGTTAGGGTTTAGGGTTAGTGTTAGTAAAAAAGTACACCGTATTTCGCCAATCACAATAAAAGTTCGCTATGCTATGCCTATCCCAAACCATAAACTTCATTGGAAGTGATCTGCTGCATGCCGACGGAAAAATATGAGAGGGAGTTAATTAAGGAATTCACTAATAGATTATTATTATTATTATAACAAACTTTTGAGTGTTAATGGCTGGGTAAATTCGTGCTCAAATATTTTTTGCTTTTATACATTGAGTAAATTCATGTTTAAAATACCTGGATAATCTGTATTCTTACAATCGGTGATCCTGATTAGAGGTCAAAACCTATTTTAGATATTTAATTTATATAATTGCTTTTGCGACCAATCTATTTTAATTTCAGACAAGTACATTAGCAATCAGTGTTGGCATTGGACATATGTCCAATGATCTTGAAAACGATTGGACATATAAAATTCTATATGTCCATTTTTTTAAATTATTGGGCATATGTTCAATGCCAACATTGTTAGCAATGTAAACCAAACCCGAATAGGATAATTACGAATTTCTACCTAATTTGGGTTTGGGGTCGACCATTGTTGTAATTCCAAACCAAATACAAAACCCAAACCGGTGGCCCATTTATTTTTGCATACCCCAAACCTCGAAGACCAATCATCTCTACGAAATAAATGTGGCTAGTGATGTGCCGCGTACAGCACTATACGTACAGTACGGTACGTACTGTACGCTAAAATTTTTGCCGATCACTTGTTCCAGCCAATCAGGTGCCAGAAAAGGAACTATACGTACCGTACGTACAGTACGTACTGTACGTACTGTACGCTAAAATTTTTCAGGTACGTATCATATAAATGGCACATCACTAAATGTGGCGCATGTGATAGTGTATGGTAATTATTTTCATAAATTTGAAATAATTCTCCTGCATTCGCATTCTAGCCAGCAATACATAAATTTGGGTTACAACCAGTGTCGAAAATTCGTTGTACATGATTGTTTTTTGCACAAAAAAAATTAACAAGTATGTACAAAAAATGAAATAACATTCCTGTATAAAAAAGTTTTTTTTTGCACAGCATATTGTGCCGAATTTTTCAACACTGGTTACTCAAATCTAGTAAAACCTTTGGGAATCTACTAAACATGCACGTCGGTGGTTATGCCAATTATGTCGATCATCATGTGTAACATCCAATATACCAATCAAAAATTGAAGAATCCCAACAATTTTACTAAATATTTTTAAATTTGAAATAACAATATCTTTATAACCCGCTGATGATGCTCAATAATTTTTTTTTAATTTTAATTCTACTGATTTGTAGGGTTGTAAAATTATTATTATTTTAAATTTAAGAAATTTTAATAAAATTGTTTATTATGTTACTGTTACACTCAAATTACCTCTTACAAGTTATGGGAAAACGAGTTTATTTTAGCTACGGATATTGTATGTGAATGATGACAATGACCATGTTTATGCCAAAATAAATGTGTGTCAGCGCAGTTACGCGCTAAGAGGATTCAATTGGTTTGCTTTTACGAAAGAGACGCACAACTAAATGTATATGAAGATGCAAGTACTCGTAATAATATGGGTTAATTTTTATTAGACACTACTAATCGATTCGGAGGATAATAGAGATATTTATACATTGGTAACTAGAATCTTCGGATGTTATATATACTAATTATACTGTGTCTAAGCTATCTGATATTTATAATATATCTGATAAATGCAATAGAGTTAATAAATATATATAAAGTAATATCGGATATAATAAATATTCGTGATATATGAAATCTGATAGAAATGGTTGCATCTATCGTTAGTGCTATGAAGTGCATATTGTAACGAATAAATTTTAGGTATTATAGTATTATGTCATTTTTTTATATGTATTATTTTTTGTTATTTTATTTCTTCTAACAAATATGTATATTTTTCTTTCCACCAATTTCATTTTGATAACTATATTTTTAATTCTTCATGATGTAAATATTTATTAGTTATACTAAAATAGTAATTGATACTGGATTGGTGACTTAACCTATGCAAGCGCGTATACACTCAAAATATTGTATATATGTGAACACAAATATAAAGAACTGCACCCTGAGTATGTATACTCAAATTACAGCGTATATGCTTAGAAAAGCGTAAATGTCCTAAAAATGAAAAATGTATATAATTTCAATAAAATAACATAAGTTCCATGTCCGCTTTCAAATAATAAAAGTAAACTTAGCTGAAATTATCCTTTGAATTTACTTGTAACTTTAATAAAACTCCTGTGAGACTCAATTAAATGAACCGACTTGACTTTAACACTGCACAGTCTTATTAAGACTCGAATTCGTATCTAGTAAACCCCTGTTCAAATTCTTGTAAAATCGTGGGCACGTGATTTTCTCCGAAGTTCTTTTGATCAGGAAAAACCTTCTCAGTTGATATCAAATATAAAGAAATCCCACCTCCTTTTAGCATCACCAGCATAAGCATTTTGATATATTATCCATCAAGTCCCATCACTCCATCGATTTCAATCAGCTATTTGTGATATTAGGCCAGGTTTTTCATTTTGCATTACATGGATGTTAAAACTCCGGTCGGTCTGTCGATCGGATTTTAGTCTACAGTAAATTAATAGATTCATATTCACATTTAAGGCCATGCAAAGTTAATTTTCGCTTTGCATAACATGGAATCAGAAAGTTGAGTCGGAAATCGAATTTTTATTATCAGTTCTATCAGATAATTCCAGAAAACTAAGGTGTCTATCGGGTGATACAGGATTAATTTATGGGAAAAAATTAAATGGCAAAAATAGAATAAATGGTATTAAAAAAAAAAGTTGTTTTTCTAAAAAATCAAAAAAAATGGTTCAGCGGGTAATGCAAAACGAAAATCAACTTTGTGCGGCCTTATCACTTGGATCGCATTTGATTCGTCATTCTTCTCATAATATTCTAAGCTTACTTACCCTTAGTCTTAGAAATCTATATCCTTTCCATACATGGTGGAGACAATTTGGTGTATAGTCCATTATAATTGTTTTATCCGCTTCACTCTCAACTGTTATAATACGAACGTATGTATATTCATAAAATTCATAAAGGAACTATTTTTTATTGATTGTTAGAGCCAAAAGTTACAAGTTTGGCTGGACAAAATCCTTATTCTCCGATGGTAACAGTAACAATAGATCAGGATTCTGGATAAAGTATTTATCCGGATTTATTACACATGCAGATAAATATTGATCTGACATATTTCAGAAGTCGGACAAATTTAGAATAAATTTCCGAACTGTTCCGAAGACAAATAAAGATATAGGTACGTACGTACGTACGTAGGTTACATGGATTCTTGGCATTTGTGCAATAGTGCGCTTCGAATTTAAAGAATTCTTGGCATACAAATTCACTATTGCCTAATAAAAAATAAAGATATGTGCGAGAATTACTAACAGTAAAAAGCCTAAAGTTTTTAAATTTCAAGAATTAATTATTAAAATAATAACAAAATTCTACAGTCCGCTAAGAATTCTAGAAGGTTAGATAATGCAAGCAGAAAATTCAAACTTCTTGAGTGTTAAATTAGTCATAACTAAGGCCGCAGCCTACTCTATATTTGAAATAAAGACAAAAACCACTTTTACCAAAAATACATTAAATTAGCAAAATTTTAATTAATAATATACCCGAATTTAGAATTATTAATTACATTAATGTTAATAAGAATTATAAAAAAATTATCTGTTACCAATTTTATTTTGCATAAAGTTTATGTGCTATTTTTGAAAAGAATTTGAAATATACCATATGCTTAAATATTTATCCAAGTAATATCAATTTTTTAGTTTAATTTTTGCTAGTAATATACATAAGGCGTGAGCTATGACTAATATAAATATAATCTTTAACAATTAAATATATATATATCGACTTTAATTGTTTGTTTTGTTATTGGAAGTTTCTTCACAGATAATTAATTATCGTACAAATACTTGTTATTTTAATAATTTGTGTTACAGGATCAAAATAATTAGATAAGTAAATTCGGGTTACCTGTAATTCAAATAAATTGCTGAATTGTCCTTTGTATTAATGTAGTGTAAGTTATGCTTGCAATGATTTTAACAATACATACTAAACATACTATTCTCAATATGGCAATTGGTTTGATCACAATTAAATATTAATATGGCATGCTAATACTTTTTACTATATAGTAGCAAATTAAAATCAACATTTTTTTTTTTTTACGGTAAAATAAATTTTAACATAACCATTATGGGGACTTGTATCAGTAAAATAAGGCTGAATAAACCTCTTTCTAAACCTGAAGAAATTATGTCAACGCCTAATAATCCAACAAATACCTCCAACCACTTTCGTTTTTCTTCGGGTAGAAGATATCATAACGTAGGAAATGCTGTATATTTCATGCCCAACGATGACGATGAATGCGATAGATTGCATTTACAGCATATTATGGAAAGATTTATTTGGCAAAGTAACTTTTTTTCCCCAGTTGAAGATCTCCTTAACCAGGATGGAACAATGGTTCTCGATTCGGGGTAAATGCATATTTGATTTATTATACTAAAATTGTAAAATAATAATAATACAATAATAATAATAATAATAATAATAATACAATAATAATAATAATTGTCGCGGCTGAAGTTGAAAACGGCGGAAGCTGGAAATTTTAATATTTTAATATGAAATTTTCAAAAATTTTGGAGGTGCATTTTCGTAGTTTTTTTTTTAATAGTTAGGTTAGGGTTTAGGGTTAGTTTTGATAATAAAAGAGTATAAGTGAATTTTGGTATGATTTATATTTTTAAATTGAAGTCCCTAATTTTCCAGCTTCAGCTATTTCCAGCTTCAACCATTTCCAGCTTCAGCCATTTCCAGCTTCAGCTATTTCCAGCTTTAGCCATTTCCAGCTTCAGTCATTTCCAGCTTCAGCCGCGACAATAATTATTATCATTACTTTAATCATTACATTAGTACAGGTGCTGGTTCTTGGTCGCTCGAAATGGCAGCCAACTATCCTAAATCTAAATTTATCGGAATTGATATTTCTCCAGTTCAGTCTGAAGAAAATAAGCCTCCTAATGTTGAATTTATTAAGGCAAACGTATTAGAGCGTTTACCTTTTGATGATAATACTTTTGATTTTATATTTCAGCGATTTTTGACCGGCGGAATTCCCACAGATAAATGGCCATCAGTAATTAATGAGCTGGTTCGCATATTAAAGCCCGGTGGTTACTTGGAGGTTTGTTGTATTATTTTATCTTAAATATATTAATAAAAAAGTGCCTTACAATAATTTTTTATTAGCTAGCAGAAAATGATATTTATTATACCTCTATGGGTCCTGCTTCAGAAAAGCTTATTGAAAGCTGTAAGGATTACATCAATTAATTCGTCTTAATTGTCCTTTACAATGCAATATTCTTACTTATATACTGTTTAATATTCTTTTTTTTTTTTTAGTATCAATTCTACTTCATGAACGTGGCTTAGATCCAACTGCATGTTATAAAATACAAAAATATTTAGAAGAAAATGACCAACTTCATAATGTTAATTACGAAGAAAAGAAATGTATAGAAGGTCAAGATGCCATCAGAGTGTACAAATTGGTAAAGTATTAGTATAAAAAAATAATTAGTTAAATAATTAATGAATAATTAATTATATTATCTATTACGTATTTAGCTCGGTGAAGATTATTCTACTGCTATGGCAAATATGAAATCTGTGCTAATACATACAGTTAAAGTTTCTAATGATGAATATGACCGGTTAGTTAATGAGTTTGAAAAAGAAACAATAGAATTAGAATCTTTTCCTCCGCACATACGTGTTCATGCTCAAAAAAAATTTTGATAAATTAGTATTATAAGTTTTATAATAAGATATATGTAATTAATACCTATTAATTTTTATATTTTAATTAATTATTTTAATTATGTTTTATACTACCAATTACTATACTTCAAACAGAGTATTTTTATGTATTATATATAAATATAGCTGAAATAACTGGTTTAATTCTTCATCCATTTTTAAAATATTTATATAGTATTATTGTATATTCATTCGCATTGTAAATCAAAATAAAAATAAGACATAAGGAATAGAGATTAACATATGTCCATAAATGAAAATATGCATGCCAGAGATTAATGATGCCTGACGAAAGATGAAATAGTTTTGTCTGGGTGAATGACAAAACTGTTTCATATGGCAGCTTCAATTAGACGAATGACGAATGACGAAACCCATAATGGATGATGAAACTCATGACGAATGACGAAACTCATGACGAAACTCATGACGAAACTTTGCGAATATATATATTTATGAGAAAAAAATAAATAAAAATAAAACATGCAATAGGAATCATTAAAAACTGGTTAGTGCATAAATATCTTCTGATAATAAAATTTTGTGTTATTACAATTTTTTTGGGTTTATTGTTAATTGATAGTTCACGAATAATTGAGAATGGCAATAGGGGAGTAACATGAAAATCACCTTTTCTATATAAATATATGTGATTTTAAAATTAAATTGCTTGTAACTTTTGATATACTAAACCAATTTTACCGACCTTACTACCATTAGAATCACAAAAACTAGCTCTACAACCTTTGTTAGAAGCTTATAAAAGGTTTGCTTAATAAAAAAGCGACTTTATATTGTAGGAAAGGGTGATTTTTATATTATAATATATATATGTTATTATTATAAGAATTTATTATTAGTATTCACATTTATTCGCAGACTACCAATTAAGTTGTTTTTGTTATATTGAGATATAAATTTTATAGATCATTTAATTTATATAAGACACCAGATATTCAATGGACCACTATGGACACGTATAATTTCACGTGATTTGCATGTATAATATCACATGATTTGCACGTATCAAAGATTATAAATTTTTCTTAACTTTTGGACAAATTTCCTCAACTCCTATACAATGGAATACAATAGAGTTTTTAAAATAAAATATACGAATTGACAAAAATTATTTAAAAAAATTTTTCATTGAATTTTATTAAGTAGACGTTGAGAATTTTTATCCAAATTTAGGGAAATTTTTAAAAAAATGCTGCAGTTAAACTTTGACCAAAAATTTCTCAACAACTACTTGTCAAAATTTGGTAAAAACTTTTTATTGAATTTTAATATTTTATAGAATTCATTTAAATAAAAGTTTATCAAATTTTATCTGATAGTTGTTGAGAAATTTTCATTAAAATTAAGAAAAATTTTTGTTGCCTTCTAAGAAAATAACCATGACCAAACTTTTTCTAAAATTTCTCAACACCTACCTAATAGAATTTGATGAATATTTTATAAATGAATTAATATAATATATAAATTTGCATAAAAAAGTTTTCATCAAATTTTAACTAGTTGTTAAGAAATTTTCAGTCAAAGTTTAGAAAATTTTTGTTATAGCATTTTTCTTGAAATTTCTTAAATTTAAATAAAAATTTCTCAACAACTACTCAATGAAATTCAATAAAAATTTTTTTAAATAAGCTTTGCAATTTGAATAATTTTATTTAAAAAAATTTATATCAGATTCTATTGTATAGTAGTTAAGAAAATTTGTTCAAAGGTTAAAAAAAAATTCATAATCTTTGATATACTTTACAGAAACATGCTAATTTTTTTCAATCAATTTATTATGATTTTATAATACTTAAAATTATCTTATAACAATCTTATAACAATCTTATAATAATCTTATCATATAATTATCTTAAAAAATCTTAAAACTGTCTTATAATTATCTTATAATAATCTTAAAATAATCTTAAAATAATCTTAAAATAATCTTATAAAAATCTTATAAAAATCTTATAATAATTTTATAATAATCTTAAACAATAATCTTAAGATAATTTTATTATAATTTTATAATTATTAAACTATAATTTTATTATTATTTTTATATATTAAATCCTAAATTTATAATAAAATAATCTTTTAATTATAAAAATATTATATTAATATCTTTAATATTATCTTAAGATTATTGAAAAAAATTAGCTAGTTTCTGTAAAGTATACAATTTATGTAAAATTATACATGTCAGTAGATGGTTTGGATATTTGATACTGATTACTCTAATGCATAATATTGTGAACTGATTTTGGCTACACTTAGATTTCTTGTTTAATATAATGCCAGTTGATATTTAATTTTGGTTAAAATTTATAACTATAATGCTAGCTATTTTGTGTAATTCTGGTCAAATCGCAAAATTTTTGCAGAATTATTATTTTACACAGTATTTTGTCACTACAAAAAATTATTATCTCTGCTATAAAATTAATATTAAGTATAGTAAGACCAGTTATGCTATAACAAAACTCTACTAATTTTAAGACTTAAAAAATCTTTATAGCCTGTTTTTGTCTAACAATTCAAGATTAAGAAGTTTTGAGACAATTGTTATATAGTTTTGTATTATTTAAATTAGTTATTTAGTTAGTTTTAATTATTTCCAATTAGCCTACACTTTTTCAATATGTATGAAACCTATTTCTAGTACTATCAATCATCAATTATCTGTAGTTTTGTCTATAGTTTTATTATTTAGTTTTATCAATAATCAACTATCTGTAGTTTTGTCTATAGTTTCATCATTTACCTATAGTTTCATTATTCATCTATAGTTTCATTATTCATCTATACAGTACACTCTCTCAAATCTAATATGAATGATAGATAGCATTTGTATCAGAGATTATTGGATTTAAAAATTAATTTAAAATACCAATAGCATATTGTATTTTGGAGATTTTTTAAGACTACAATAATTTGAAAAGTATTTTAATTAAAACAATACCAAATTTTTTAAAATTATTTATCTAGTTAGCATTAGTTTTGTGTGTTTTTATTAGAATTATCAATAAAATTGTGCTCTCAACATTTTTGTTAGTATATCAAATTAATTAGATAATTGTTTTCCATTTTTTTTTATTCTTTATAATTGTTTTTTAAAAAATAATAACTCTTATAATTTCCTATCAATTTCAATTTTTTAATATAATATTTGTTTGTATATTGATATTGTAGTTAGTTGACCAAGTAGCAATAAAAATTAAAGTTTCTTTATTTAAATTTTTACAAATTTTGAACTAAAGTATTTTAATACTATTCTATTTATTTTATCTAATCAAAGTAATTTTAATTTTATAGACTAGTAGAATCTAAAAAATAGTCTTAAATTTTAAATTTATTAAAAAAATATTACTAATACTTCATTTGAGTTGAAAAAAATATTTAGATTAATAAAATTAAAAAATTGAAGCTTAATATAATTTTTGGCAAATTAGAAGTTAAAAATTAGAATACTATAATTGTTTATGCATCCATTGTTGTATTTTTTGTTTTTGTTAAGATTTAAAGTATACAATGGTTTAAAACTACAAATCCTGGTTTAAGACCAGTTTAATAGTTAGAAACACAGATCTTGATTCAAGACTACAGATATTGTTAAAACACAGTTTTTGGTTCAAGACCACAAATAATAGTTTGAAACACAAAATTTAGTTTTAGATTAAAATATATAAAGTATAATAGCTAAACTAATAAAGTACATAACTCTTCTGTTTGATAAAAAACAAAACTATAACTTATATATAAATCTTCACTAATTAAACTAAATAGTTGTGTGATATTATCATGCAAAACCAGGAACAGAGGATCTAAACAAAGGTTAGAGTAAAGGCTTTGATATTAAAATTAGTATATAAATAAGTATAGATGTGTTTTATTTTAAGATGTTGTTTATAATCATAAGGTTAATAGCATAAAAGATATTGTATAAGCTAATAAAAAAGAAAAGCATATAGTATATATGTATATATATATTACCTTTTTTTTAAAAAAAGCATATAATATACATATATATATACTAAATTTTTTTTAAGAAAAGCATATAATAGAGATGTAGTAACTTAGTATAGTGGTCTAGTCATTACCTTCTCCAAGTGGCAAGTCTAGAGTTCAAATCCCACTGGTGACAATATTTGAAAAATAGATTTGTGTTTAGTTGATTGCTATGTTTATTGGTTGAATCTAGAACAAAATTTGTAACTTCAGTCACACCATCTAGTAATAAAAGCTTTGGTGCAATAAATCTAAAGAACTAGCATAACCAAAAACCCATTTGGGAAGACCTGAGTTTGGAAATAGCAATGATTTTTGATGGTATTACAGGAGGGCTGAATTTGAACTAGAGACCAAAATTGGAGAACTAAGCAACCAGGTTCTAAAATAGTGGAGAACATACTAGCTGAACTACCAGATTGTCGCACTGAAGGAAAAGAACATATGCTCAGAAAGTATAGACCAAGGAGAGGGCATCTTTCAGGCACCTAAAGCCTTGGCAGACTAACCTTTCCAGATTGCCAGCTAGAAGTAAAGAAGGGACTAATAAAGAATCCAGAAAAAAAGAGATCTAAATGTGGGTATTGGAGTTGTTATGAACCAAACAGGGCAAAAAGTGGTCAAAAAATCATGTAAATTTGAAGAACTGCAGATTCTACCAAAATCCTATACTGTGGGGCCAGATACTCAGGATATTAATTGATGGATTTGATGAACTATGATTACAACTACAAGTAGAAACCATGGTAATTGCGTAAAGAAAATTGTAAAATGGGTATACATAAACATAAAATTTGGATAATCTGTCAATCATCTCTAGTAGATTTTAGTTGAGAAGCATCTTGATAATTATAGATACTTAGATTTATCAAAGAAGGTAGATCTTATATATAAATAGTTTGATTGAGTTCCTAAGCCTTTCTATATAAATATTTAGTGTTACTATAGTACTCTGTATTAAAGTTAAA